ACTCCAACTAAAAAAAAAAAAAAGAAATTAACATTTCAAAAACTGAAGACTGCTGAAGAAATAAATGAGCAGTACTGGTGGTAGAAAAACAGCCCAAAATCTATGAGTAAGGCTGAAGGGCAAAGTGCAAAAAAAAAAAAAAAAAGTTCAGATTGCAAAAAATCTGTTTTTTTTTAAAACTGCATTACATTTTCTATAATGATACATCTGAATAAATCATAGCCATGTTCCATTGTTACAATGTAAATTTAAAAGAACTCAGTCACATTTTTTTTTTTTGAGTCAGAGTCTTACTCTGTCACCCAGGCTGGAATGTAGTGGCATGATCAGAGTTCACTGAAGCCTCGAACTCCTGGGCTCAGGAGATCCTTCCACCTCAGCCTCCCAAGTAGCAAGCTACCCTGCTCAGCTAATTTTTTGATTATTTTTAGAGATGGGGTCTTTTTATGTTGCCCAGGCAGATCTCAAACTCCTGGGCTCAAACGATTCTTTCGTCTCAGCCTTCCAAAGTGTTGGGATTATAGTTGTGAGCCACCATGCCCAGCCTCAGTCATATTTTTAAACATTTGCAAACAACTAACTACATAACAATGTAAAACTTTAGACCCAGTTGATAGGGTAGAAATACAACTATAGTTTCCTTTTAGAATACGATCCTCTACAATCCACATGCCTCTAAGTTGTTTCATTTACTCAGTCTATTTATAACACACAGAGAATAAAAGAAGATCACTGTTATTACAAGAGAATTACAAGCTTTGTGATAACATAATACTTTCGTCCTTAATCCTCCACACCAGCGGTGGCAGGCATGGAATTTGGGGTGTGGAGATGGCACCTGAAGAATGTGGAAGACCCACCCAGACTTGCCTGCTGTCTCTCTCTGGGATTTCTTTGATGGCTATTCGCACTTGATTGCTCAGATCTCGGCCAGCATAGACAATCCCATACGTGCCTTTCCCCAAGACGATTCTCTCACCATTTGCATCATAGTCATACTCATACTAAATAAAAGAGAAACAACCAGATTTATTTATTTATTTATTTATTTTTGAGTTGGAGTCTCACTCTGTCACCCAGACTGGAGTGCAGTGGCCGCTCCCGGCCACCGCAGCCTCGACCTGCTGGGCTCTGGCGATCC